CTGCTGGAGAAGTTCAAGAGGAGCGAGCAGGTGTTCGACCCCAACGCGGAGCTGGACAGTGAGGACAGCGATGGCTGTGCTGAATTCCAKCCCGATTCCATCCCAGAATCCCAATTCCAGCCCGATYCCATCCCAGAACCCCAATTCCAGCCCGATTCCCCCCGGAGCACAGCGGGGGAGAAGATGGGGGAATTCACAGACAGCGTCAGCACCTTCAGCCAGCGCCAGAGGTGGGTGGGGTGGCAACCCACAGCTTCCATTTTATGGATCTCTGTTGGTTTTTCCTGTTTCCTGCTTCACATCTGGGCTCATCCAGRAAGGTTTTCCTGGGATATCTCTGCCTTCCCAAGGGAACTTTGACCAGAGAATTCTGGCAGCAGAACTGCGGGGTTGCAGTGCCGTGTTTGTTGAAAATCCCCGGAGCAGGGATTGCCTGGGTAATCAATTCCCTGGGAATGGCCTCACTGAGCAGCTCTCATTCCTTCCCCAGGACTGACGGGGCTCCTCTGGTGCAGGGAGACATCGGGACCATGTGCYTGCACCTGTCCATGAACCCCGGGGAATATTCCTACTTCAGCCCCCGCACCATGGCCATGTGGGCCGGCCCCAAGCACTGGCGCTTCCGGCCCCGCCACCGGCGTGAGTGTCCAGGAGAGGGGTCCAGAGGGAGAGAATGGGCAATTCTGGGGTGGAAKGGACCTCAAAACTCACCCAGAGACAAATCCCACAATGCCAGGAGTCAGTGTCCAAGAGGGAATGGGAATTCTGGGGTGGGAGGGACCTCAGAGCTCATCCAGGGACAAATCCCACAATCCCACAACTGAGTGTCCAGGAGGGTGGGTCCAGACAGAGGGAATTGGGGGATTCTGGGGTGGGAGGGGYCAAAGGCCATYCAGGGACAWATCCCACAATCTCAGGAGTGAAWGTGTGGGAGKCTCCAYGGGGATGGAATTGGGGAATYCTGGATTGGGAACAACCTCAGAGCGTGTCCAGAGACAGGCCTGAGTGTCCGGGAGAGTGGCTCCAGAGGGAATCAGGGAATTCAGGGTTAGGAGAGACCTCAGAGCTCATCCAGGGTCCCATCCCACCAGGAGGGAATTGGGAAATTCTGGGGTGAGAGGGACCTCAGAGCCYATCCAGGGTCCCATCCCATGATCCCAGGCTGCTCCAGCCTGGCCTTGGAYACTTCCAGGGATGGSGCAGCTCCTCTGGGAATTCCCTCACTSYTCTCACAGGGAGGAATTCCTCCCCCACATCCCATCTAAGTCTCACTCAGACTTTTTGCTCCCCAAAAAGCCACTGATTCCTTTAGAGCACAAAGCTGAGAGCGACACTGGCTGCTTTCCCATAAAAAGGGCGGAAATCCTCGTAGGTGACCTCTGCCTGGTTGGGATGCTCTGGTTGGGAATGAGCTGTCTGTCCTTGCCCTGTCCCAAGGCAGTGATGGCTCCTTTCCTTTTCCACATTTCCCCTTTTCCCCATTCCCCCCAGCTACCATGGGCTCAGAGCAGAATTCCAGGAAGAAGAATCCCCGGAAGGTTTTCCGGCTGGACTTTGAGGAGGACATTGACTTTGAGTCCCATTTCCGTAAGACCAAGGTGCTGCTGTGCCCCTGCCCCGTCCTGCTCCCCCTTTTCCTGCAATTCCCTACATTTTCTGGGATCCCCCAGATTTTCTGAGCTCCCCCGGATTTTCCGAGCTCCCCCGGGATTTTCCCCAACCCCCCCAGATTTTCTGGGGTTCCCCAGATTTTCCCAGCCTCTCCCTGGATTACACCCATGATTTTTGTCAGAAAATGATATTTTTCCATGGCTGGATCTTTTTTCCATGTCCATTTTCCATTCCTTTCCTCAGGCATCCATAACTCTGGCCAAATCCACCCTGGAGAACCAGAAGGCCAGGAGCACCACACTCCCTGCAGACTTCAACTATGACCCCCAGAACATCCTGCAGCTCTTCCTCAAGGTCAAGGTTAAGGTGAGGAATTATTCCTTGCCCTAAAATCCTGCTGGGAATAAAATTCCAGCCACAAAATCTCCTTTTTTCCAAGGTGAGGAATTGTTCCTTGCCCTAAAGCCTGCTGGGAATACAAATTCCAGGCACAAAATCTCATTTTCTTCAAAATGAGGAATTATCCCTTGCCCTAAAAACCTGCTGGGAATCATTCCTGGCACAAAACCTCCTTTTCTCCAAAGTGACAAATTATTTCCTGCCCTAAAAACCTGCTGGGAATAAGAGAATCATTCCAGGCACAAAATCCCTTTTCTCCAGGGTGGGTGAAGAATTATTCCTTGCCCTGAAAGCTTGTTGGGGATACACCCAGGGAATCATTCCAGGCACAAAACCTCCTTTTCTCCATGCTCTGGGAGTGTTTTGGGACGTCCCTCAGGGCTGGCGATTTTGTGGTGTCACCTCGAAGGGGAAAAGGGGACAAAGGCACAGGCCCAGCATTTGCTGCAGGAATTTTGAGGATTTTCCTGTCCCTGCAGCTCAGCCAGAGTTTGGAGTCGCTTGGGACCGGTACCTTGGATAACGAGGCTGGGATTGAGGACTACGACTACAACAACCCCAACGACACCTCCAACTTCTGCCCCGCCCTGCAGGTAAAGCCCAGCAGTGTTTTCATCCTCTTTTGATCCTTTTATCCTCTCCTTTTGAT